AACCCCTTGCTGCAATCTCAGAACAACAAGAAACGCAAAGTAGACTTATCTCGCTGTGCCCTCGATATGGCTCCTGAGATGCCAATGACATTGCGCTCAATGTGTCCCCCGATCAGAAAGGCCTGCTGTCTTTCGTTCAACTGCGCGGCGCAAGCGCGATCAAGTACGCGAACACACATGCGGCCCAAAACTTTCGCATCCTCATTGGGCAATTCAATGAGGCGGACCTGGCGCATCGCGTCGGCGCCTGCGCTCTTCGGCAAGGCGAACCAAACGAACTCGGTCAGGTGATCGGGTGCGATGCTCCTGCCAGCAGTAAGCTCATCGAAAGCCTCAGTGAATACCGAAGCGAGCACGCGGGCATGAAGCCTGTACAATCGTCTTCTTACACCAGATGAGCCTGGAGATTTGTCGTTGGATACGCTGGGCAATATATCCACAACTTCGCATTGAGATAACGCTGGGGAGGCTCCGCTGAGATCAACATTCCAATCCTGCAGCAATCGTTAAAACTTGCGTTGGTCGCCTCTTGCGCCCCCCCCTGTCGTCGCAGAGCCTCTCGGCGAAGTATTCCGGCTACATCGTCACTGTTCTCAGCGTGATTATGCGTGGTTGTCTTCATCCCATAGCCGCTCAACGTGGAAACAACCTATCGCACAAGCTTTTCTGAGTGACGTTACAAGCGAACTGTGCGGTTTAGAACCCAACAGCGTCGCTCCCGCCGCTGGGCCTTCGCCGCGCACGGTTTCTAGGGCAGCATCTGACGCCTGATCCAGAGCTTCTTGGCAGGCCTGCTCGCGGACGACGCTCTCGTGGAGCGCGCGGAACAACTCAAGCGATTGCGACGGATCAGTCAAACGAAGAAGACTGCAGCACGTGTCAAATTCCACTCGAACTCGCGACCGCAAGTCTGGGCGTGCAGACATCCAACGAGCAAACCGGCCAGGGGTGACGTTGCGGCGTTCACGAGCAGAGACGTACGTGGCCATCACAATCTCAAACCTATGCGACGCGATTAACGCATCGACCTTCTTCGAGGAATGATTCGGCGCGGGCCTGCGCTAGATCGCGAAACTCGCACAAACCTTGCAAGCCAGAAGATCGTCGCACGCGCCATTGATCTACGGCCCGAGACAAGTCTTCAAGAAATCGGCTGTCATTGACAAGCCTATTTGGCATAGGTGCGGTCGCTGCTGCTTGGCGGAACTTTTTCTTCCTGGGCTGCCGCCTGTTGAAACATGCAGCAACGGGCAGTTGGTCGGAAGCATGCGCGTTAGGGATGTCCCGCACTAAATGAACAAACTGCTGACGATGCGCGTGCCGCAACCGATCGCACCCCGCCCGTGCGAAGTCCCAATTTTTTGCAATCCACCACTTTTCGCCGGAGCTTGAAAGCCCAACTCGCCTGAAAGTGAAATCAGCGAGTTCGCCCGATTCCAGCGCTCCAGCGGACTGCAGAAACGAATCCCAGACCTCCAACACGGGCATACTTGGATGCCAAGCTTCAGCCACCGAGGCAGAGTATTGGTCGGGATCCACCGCGAAGTCCTTGTCACCGCCAACGATGCACTCAAGGCAGCCATGCCCCCCATTCATTCGGAATTGATTCACAGCCCGGCTCAGCGCATGGAGTTGCGCAGCCCGAGTGGCACTGGAATGACTTTTCAAATACACATTAATGTATAATCGGGTTGCGCCCTCAATTTTGTGCCAAAAGCCGTGGGCAGCCCCTTCCACGAGCACCGCATGATGCGGCTCATATTCAAGGGGGTCCTGCAAGCCAACTTCACGAAGCAGGGTGTCTGACGCGAAGAGGGCCAATCCAGGGGAGGAGCAATCGCAGTGAAACAGCGAGCGTCCATTAGCGAGGCGTCAGAAAAAAAAGGTGTCATACGCAACCGCACTTGAGTTGTGCAGCTCAGGGAAAAAACAACGATGTCATATTTACCACAAAGAAATCGAGCGTTAGCCATCTTACGAGAGTGAACAAGTGGGCCCGATATTCCTAAGAATCGCAAGTTATAGAAAGCAGCGCTGGCAAAGTCGGGATCGTCCCCGGCGAAGCCGATATTACTTCCCATCATCATTGCGATCCGTTGGGTTTGACGGGAGGCCCTGGCCCCCATTCCCCGAAAGTATTCCCGAGGACCCTATGGGCCCCGCCTTTCCGCGCCACTTCCAAACTTGCACTGGCTCCAATCAGACCCTGCAACAAATTACACTCATACTTGATGGCTTGATGGCAGTCCAACTCTTTGCGTGGACAATCTCGTCTCCTTTCTTTCTGCGGGGGCAAGGCCACTTCGGGCAGAAACATATCTGCCTCGAGCTGGCCGCGCCAGCCGCCGCGATCAATGCAGCAGACCACTGCTCAGCTATTTCGTTCGCCTTCTTCATCGCCCCTGCCTCCCCGTGCTTTCCCATCGAGAAAAAGCGCTTGCCGCTTGTGATGCCAAATTGTAACTTTGCTGCGCGATGGTGCGCAGGTGTACATCGCCCCTCCCTGCCAGGCCACTTGGATCGTGACGCGACGGGGTCGCCTGAATACAGCTGCTTCAAATTCGCAACATAATCGCCAAGTACTACCAACTCCCCAACAGCACGTCTTACCCCATTTCCCTCTGGACCTTTGCTGGTAACTTGATCGATCTGTGCGGTCACCCTGGGTTCATTTGAGTCAGCGTCAGCAAGACTGACAGAAGTTCCTGCTTCAAGTGCGACATCCTGCATACCCGCGCCAGCGTCATGCATGAGAGAATCGTAATCCAACTTCCGGTTACTTGGTAAGTTACTGTCGTCATCGACACTCATTGTGGCAGACCGCTCAGCATCTGTGCGCTGAGGGCCTGCCATGAGCGAGGATAAAAGTTGTCGGATTGCAAGCGGTCGTAGAATGCCAAGGGTTTATCAGCAAACATTGCCTCTGCGCGTTGCCAAAGTTCCAGCAACTGTTCCTCCGGTACCTCTTCAGCGAATTGGATCAAAGCAACACTCTGAAGCAAATTGAACTGTACCTCGGCCGCCAAGCTCCCGAATGTCAGGGCATCTGGCAGCAGGGCGATGAAACTCGCCGCTTTGGGTCTGGGGTGCCTTGAACTGCTGGAAGATGGTTCTTCTGGGAATTCGCACTCGGAGGATTGCCGTGCAAATCTTCCGCAAAGCTAACCGTGAAGCGGGAACCGCCTGTGTTCAGCACCCACGTCAAGCCGCTGAGCGCATCAGCTGCGGACTTCGGGGCAATCAAGCGCAACGCGGTGCACCCCTCAACGAAACACAGGTTCGTTTTGTATGTGTCGACTCCTACGGCAGCTAAAAAAACCCGAGCTGCGTCAATGTCAAGATTTGGACCTACATGTGTTTGCAACTTCTTATGTCCAGGTGGAACGGAGGAGGCTCTTTGGCCCATGAGCTGGATGCGAAAAGACTGCGCAAGGCCGTCCTGGTACGGGCCGATTCTATGGGCAACTCCTGAGTCGCAGCCATCGCTGATGAGAACATGCGAAATTGCATCAACAAGCGCATCAAGGGTTGCCTCAGGAGCCTGGAAGACGATCCACTGTTTGGCCTCCCTGGCCACTTGAACGTGATGTTCAACAACGAACGGTGCGAACTCCCTAAGCAAGTCCGCAACTCGTCCCAGCGACACGCACACAGACATCAATGGGTGATTTCCCGCTCGCGCACGACAAACAAACGCTCCGCACGATCGCGCTTCTGCGACCAAAGCTTCGGCTTGCGAATTCTTGCACGCGAAGGAATATCGATACATTCCATCACGCTTCTGCAGAAAAAAACAGATTCTATGATACCTGCTTTCGCCGATTTCTCCAGCGAGGCTGACCGCGCGTTAGACTCCACTGTTATCTTGCAAGGCCTTTCAAGCTGAAGCACGCATTCCTGCACCAATGCAGTGTGAATCGGAACGTCATGTATCGAGATGGGCACTATGAATTGTTCAACTGCTTGCACTGAGCTCAACATGAACGCGTACAAATATGAGGAAGTGTTCTGATTCAGATGGTTTTGCCAACCTCCCCTAAGCTTCAGCATGTGCAGATGGCGCAATGCACAACATAACACGCGAGAAGACACACCGTTAGAGGGCGCTGCTAGGGCGTGCGCTGGGTCCCCATAGAAACCACAAGGGCTTCGGATGACGTCTGAGACCCAATTGTTACTACTGGTGCTGAGTGCACGTTGCTTTAGAGCTCGCTTCAACACTGGAGGGGAACCCCCGTGAATCCACACTCCCGCAGTTCCTGTCGAAATGAGCTTATCAAATTGGTCAAAATCGTCATCTCGATATACGGGAAAACGCGTTTCAGGACAAGTGATATGCCACCCCTCGGGGACAAACAAAGCATTGCATGTGGTATGCAAGCATTTGGAAGCCTCCGTGATAGTTGCAATTGGGCATGCTTTAATTTGGCTTCCAGTGTCGCCATGGTTTAGATCATGCTGTACCTGGGCACGTTCACCCCTGGGCGGCGTTCTTGAATGAAATCAGTCACCGGCAGGCCCAGGATGGCGAGCCTCGCCCACGCGGACCCCCCGCAGTCCATACCGAGCACCCCGCTTCAGGAACCATGTCGTCCAAGTCTGCACCGATACCCAGGCATCTCGGCAGGAAGTGGAGGAGCCGAGGGAGGTAGGAGTGCTTGCTGCGCCAGCGCGCGCGACTGGCATCGCAGAAGCGAGGCCTGGCATCAGGGAGTCAAAGTTCGACACCTCCGGGACCTCCTCCAGCGTGACTCCCATCTCGGGGGAGGTGTTGCTGAGCTTACGGACGTCGAGGGGGACCCCCACCTCCTCCTCCTCCTCCTCCACCTCCTCCTCCTCCTCCTCCTCCTCCTCCTCCTCCTCCTCCTCCTCTTTCTATTCCCTCCCTCGTTCCCCCTCGCCCATCCCACCCCCCCCTCCCTCTTACTCCTTTATTTTGCTTTCCTCGCGTTCCTCGCCTCCCCCCCTCCTCTCCCCCGTCCGTTGCTGTGCGCTCCCAGGTCAAGGAGGCCGAGGCCGCGCGACGAGCCAGGGAGGCCGAGGCCGAGCGTGAGGCCCTGGAGATGGCCGAGGCCGAGCGTGAGGCCCAGGAGGAGGTCGTTCGCAAGGCCCAGCAGGAGGAGGCCGAGCGCAGGTCCCAGGAGGACGCGAAGGCCGAGGCCGAGCGCGAGGCCAAAGGGGCCGCCAAGCCCAGGCGCCGCCGGCGGAGATGTGGGAAGGCCGCGGCGCACGGCCCGCTGCCGAGATCGGAAAATTCTGGCGGCGAGCCCGCCAGCGATGGCTCCGGCAGCGACAGCTCTGGTGGCGGGTCCAGCGACGGGTCCAGTTCCACGAGCAGCGCGCCGTCGCGGCGTAGCGCGGAGGCAAATCAGAAGGCCTCGGAGGGGGCCTCGGAGGGGGCAGAGGCCGCGCGGCGGGCCAGAGGGCCCGGGCCCGAGGGCAGGGCTGCGGAGGAGGCGGGAGCTGGGCATTGTAGCGAGGAGGAGGCTGTGGGCTGTGGCGACGAGGCCGCGGGGGAGGCCGAGGCCAGGTGGCCGGCCAGTGAGGCCGAGGCCGAGCGCAGTGCCGCGGGGAAGGAGCGCACGGCCGCGGAGGAGGCCCGCGTCGGATGCAAGGCCACAAAGGAGGCCGAGTGCGAGGCCGAGGAGGAGACTCGGGCTGGGCGTTGGGCCAAAAGGGCCGAGGCCGCGTGGAACGCTGCGGAGGACGAGGAGGGTGATCGGAGGGCCGTGGAGGAGGCCGAGCACGAGGCCGAGCGCAGTGCCAAGGAGGAGGCCGAGGCCGCGCAGCGAGTCAGAGAGGCCGAGAGCGAGCGCAAAGCTTTGAAGAAGGCTGAGGCTGCGCGCCAGGCCCAAGAGGATGCTGAGCGCCGCAGAGCCAGGGAGGAGGCCGAGGTCGAGCGCAAGGCCGAGGACGAGGCAGGGCGACAGGCCCAGATGGAAGCCCAGGCTCAGCGGCGGACTGGAGAGGCCGAGGCCGAGCGGAAGGCCGCAGAGGAGGCCTTGGACAGGAAAAAGGTAGCCTTCCCTCTGAGGCGGCTGGCCAGCCAGTCCCCAAGCGGGCCAGGTCCTAGCATCCCGCGAGAGGTCGAGGCAAAGCGCAGGGCCAAGCAGGATGCTGAGCGCAAGGCCTCCAGGAAGGCCCAGGCCGAGCGCCAGACCGCAGAGGAGGCTGGGCGGCAGGCCCAGATGGAAGCCCAGGCCCAGCGGCGGGCTGGAGAGGCCGAGGCCGAGTGGAAGGCCGCAGAGGAGGCCCTGGACCGAAGGAAGGTGGCCTTCCCGCTGAGCCGGCCAGCTGCCCAGCGCCCAGGCGGGTCCAGTCCGGGCAGCCCGTGCCAGGCTTGGGCCAGGCGCGGGGCTGGGGAGGAGGCCGAACTTGAGGCCGCGGAGACTGCGCCCCAGGAGGCCAGAGAGAGGGACCGGGAGACCGCGCCCGGGGAGGCCGAGGAGGCTGCGCCCGAGGAGGCCGCCGGGGCGGCGCTGCAGAGGCCCGGGCGCGGGGCGGGCGCGAAGGCCGGGGCCGGGCTCGAGACCCGGGGCGGCGCCCGCTCGCCGGAGGGCGCAGCCGCCTCGGCGGCGCCCTGCGTCGCTGCCCTCGCGGGCAGGCGGCGGGGTGCCAGATGCTTGCGCACGGCACTCCAGAGGTCAGGGAGCCCAGATACTTCCCCTGAGTTCTGGGCGTTGTGATTTTTTCGCACCGGGAGTGTTCGCCCGGTTTCGGGCCCCGGGACCATCACAGATCGATCCAGCTCGGAAGACGCCGCAGAAACATAGGGTCGAGGGCTTAAAAATTTGGTCGTGACTTTTCACGATGTTGCAACTTTTTCGTAACGTCGGATCTCAGGGTCTGCGCGTCGTGACCAAAAACACGGCGGGCCGTTTTTCGTTGTCTTTTGCCCCCGGGGCGCCGGTCTCGGGGAAAGGAGTGACCCTTCGCCGGAGTGACCTTTGGTGCGGGTTCGCTGGGGTCCCCTCGATCGCTGAGTGCGACGCGAGAAGCGCTGCTTGCGCGCTCGGGTTTGGCCACCTGGCGCCCCTGCCATCCGCGCGCTCACGATCCCTCTTGCCTTTGGGGACCTCTTGCGTGTAGCCGGGTCCAAACCTCTGGGAGCCCACGCTGCGAGCTCGCAGCGGGGAGCGTTGTCGCATCAGGGAGCCGGGTGGCGCAGGGCGCTCCGGAGGGGGCCCCGCCCTCGGCGCCTTCGCCCTCGGCGCCTTCGCCCTCGGCGGTAGGCCGGCGGAGGTGAGACCGCGGCGGCTCCGCCAGCGAGGGCTCGGCGGAAGCCAAGAGGGGGCGTCGAAATGGCGGGGTTCCCAGACCCCCGCGGGCAATGGAAACATCACGACGGGAGGGCTTCTGCTATTTTCGGCTTCTGGGAGCCCCTACCGGCCCTCGGGGCCGTCAGAGAACGACTCGGGATGATTGACCGGTCCAGGGGAATGGGTCGACTTGATGAAAAAAGTCATGCCGTCGGGGGTTTGGGTTTCCAGAGTCGACTAAACATAAGAGTGGCCCTTCGCCGGAGTGACCTTTGGTGCGGGCCCACTGGGGTCCCCCGATCGCCGAACGCGAAGCGGTAGCAGCGGCTTGCACGCCCAGGCTTGGCCTACCCGCGGCCCCCTACATCCGCGTGTAGTCGACAGAGTCGGCACGGCCGTGGCAAGGGAGACAGCTCATTCCACATGGGGCCAGACGTCTTCCCAGCACTCGGCCCTTCTGTGGCCGTGCACGCCAGGCCTCCACATGTGCATCCAGCGGGTGGCCTACGTGGATGCGGCCATGTGTCTTCAGCGTCTTAAATTGTTGGGTTCGCTTTGGGGAAGGTGGTGGAGCGTGCTTGCAGCTCTTGTGTCCTTTATGTGCCATTTCGGGGCCTCCGGAGGCCTCGATGGGTTCAGGGCCGGGGGGAACACTGGCGCTTGCCAGGTTCCCTAAGGGCTGGGCGATTTTTCCAATCGGCGGCATGCTCTTGTGTCATAGGCAACACACGATATGTGGGATAGGCTCAGGTAAGAAGACATCGACCCCCAAACGCCCATTCATCGACGATAGGGGCTTGATAGCCCACCCCGCCCAGGAACCTGCGGTTTCGTTGTAAGGGGCCTATCGGCGGTGCATCGCCGACTCAAGCTCGATATTTCCCCACCCGTAGGTGCTCTCACCCTACCGTTGCCCCCCGTTCCAGGGGGCGAGACAGGGGGGGAGGAGGTGGCTGTTCAAGAAGGCAGGGCGCTTCTCGGAAGGGGTCGGAGGCTTTGAGTCAGAGGTGGGAGAAGAGCCGCCGCCGCTGTCCACTCGTCTCCACGGCCAGATTCGCCCCAGGGCGCGCCCCAGGAGAGGCCTGGGGAGTTGCGGGATCGGCACATCGCTGTTCCCCGTACACGCCGGTCTTTAGAAGTAGGTATTTCTGGATACGTTGATCCTAATCTGCTCCAAGCGCCTTCCTACCTCAATAATCGATATGTTTCTGCTGTGTGCTGGTATTCTCTGGGAGGGCCTGAGCTCAACATACTTTATCCGCCTTCCTGTTTCATGTTTTGACCTACTTCTCCCGACCGACGTGTATCGTTCCCCATCGTTGTAGCGACAGGTGGGTGGGACCCGAGGGCGAGCCCGTCGCGTCGGTCGACAGCGGCGTGGTGTCGTGGCCGGACGGCTCGCGCAGTACGCTGGAGCCGGCCGGCGGCGGGTGCTTCCGCGCGGTGGTGCAGGGCAGCACGCTGCGGGTCGGCGACGACGGCGGCGATGGCCCGCGGCGACGACGAGGACGAGGGCGGCCGCGACGACGGCGGCGGCCGCGACGGCGACGGCGACGACGGCGGCGACGACCACGGCAGCGGAGGCGGCGGCGACCTGGAGTCAGCGGCGGCGACCCGGGGCGGCGGCTTCTTCGTGGTGGTGGTGGCGGGTCGGCTGCCCTCGGCGGCTTTCCGCGGCCCCTGGGGGGCGCGTCGACGTGTGCGCTGGCCTTGTCGTCGTCGACCGATCGAGGCTCGAGGGTCGAGTGTTTGGAGGATGTGTACGCATTTTTTCTCGGCAGCGAGCGAGGGGGGGAAGTGAGAAGGAGAAGGCCTTCTCAGAAGGCGGCGGGACTTCTCGGAAGCCCCTCGCGCCTTCTGAAAGGTGTTCTGCGTCGTCGGGGAAGGCTGAGAAGTTTCTCAGAAGGCTAGGGGACTTCCGGGCCTTCTGAGAAGGCCCGCCCCCTGTCAATTCCCCCCAGGCGTGCCGCCTACTTTCGGGCCTCCTGGGGCGCTCTCTCTGCCACGGCCGGATCCGTCTCGGAGTGCTGGCCAGGACTCGCTCCGAGACAGGTCGGGGGGTCGTCGACTTCGTCGTCGTCCTCGTCGACGCCGGCGTCGTCGTCGCCACGCTGCAGGTCCAGGCCGTCTCCAGCAGCCGCCTGGAGTGGAGCGACGGAGATGTCTGGCTGCTGGTGGCCCCGGGGAGGGGGCCTGCGGCCTGCTGTCGGGGGTTCTGTCGTTCGATGCCCATGGAGCTCTGTGCACTGCGTCATTTCCCATCTCGCCGTCGTCCTCCCTCTTCCGTGTCGAGGCACTTGCCACCCGCTCACCTCTGTCTTTCGGTCTTGGACTGAGGACCTGCGGCAAGCTGTCTATTTGACTTCAGACGGCCGTGCTCGGCCTCGAGTCCACAACTTTTCATTCCGTGTGCGGGAAGAGGGGGGCGGAGAGAGATGGATTCTGCAGGTTTCCTGCCCCTTTCTGGCTCCCGGGGCAGCGTCAGAACATTGTCCAGGATGATACGTTGGTCCCGTAGAAGGCCCTGAGGCTGCAGGGCCCGTGCCCTCCACGGCCTTGTCTCCCTCAGTGCACTATCGTATTCTCCACTCCTCTCGCCCGCCGATCACCCCCCCTCCTGGGCATTGCGGCGCAATGCGGTGCACGTCGGCGCTCGTTCTCGTCATGCCGGTCTTCGCGTGTGACGAGTCCAGTCTGTCGTGGTCGCCCTCGTGCTGATGAACTCCTTGCCCCTGCCTCCCGCACGAGGGGTGGTGGGGGGAGTCCCTGGGGGAGTTGGACGGGCAACGAGGGAGTAGGATCAGGAACTTTTGCTCAGCGTGTCGCTCCGCCGGTTCTGGCTCAGCACGCTTCGGCGCGACACGCTATCCACTTCGCGGTCTCCAGGCGTCAAGGCCCCGAGCCTCTGCCATCTCCCCGTCCCGCGGAGCGGAGCGACACGCCATCCACTCGTAAGGCACAGCGTGTCGCTGGGGCCGCCGCCGCGCACCGCTTCGGAGGCTGCCCTTCAGACGAGGGCACAGACCGCGGCTCCCGCGCAAGGGCGTGTCTTGTCCACGCGGCGGCGACCCCCGCGCGGCCCAGCTGCCTTGGTACGCATGTCCTGAAACGCAGCACGTGCCGTGTTCACGGTCCTGAAACGTCGGTCCTGAACACGGTGAGTGTTTTGACTCGGCACAAGTCGGCCCACGTCTTGGCGCGCGCATCGCGCCAGACCCACGTGTTCAATCTACGTGTTGACTTCCGTGGCAACGCGCTACGGGTTGCGCGGTGTTTGGTGGGCCAGCTGAGCGGCGCGGGCGTTCGAGGCTGAATGCCGCCAGTGGCCAGGCGTCGGCCAACATCGAGCGGCCCGCGGTCTCGGAAAGCTGCCATCACTCGAGGTTGACCGATCCGCGAGGCGCGAGGCGTCAGAAGCCAACGCCGAAGTCGCGACGCGAGCCTGCCATGGATCAGCACAGCGCCCACGCTGGTCAGGAGGTGTTATGTCGCCCTCCATCCGGAGGAACCCAGACCACCCGCTCAACGCTCTGAATAACGGAGACGGGGTTTTGCTCATTGATTTCGGCCTCTTGGGCCCGTTACCTGGCCTTCGGGCCGTCGAAAGCGACTCAAGATGAACAGCCGGCCCCGAAGGAAAAGGTGGAGACTTCTAGGGGTTGGCGGTTGTGCCGAGACGTCTGCGCCCCTTCGATCCCATCGCCGAAAGCCAGGGTATCATGCCACGGAGGTGGAGCCACGCCATGCATTCCGGCTTGCTCGGCCACCCCCTGTCAGGATGCGCTGCCAGGCCCACCTAGGGCGCGCAAGTTTTTCATTAGCTGGTCACGAGCTGCAAGCTCGAATACACGCTGTCGCGGCCGCGGCCCTGGGATGATTCCCTGCCTTGGGGCGCCAACGTGGCTCCGAGCCTGCTGAAATGGAAAGCACTGGGAATCACACGAGATCATGTGAGGGGATCTGGTTGGTTCGCGCAGTATGGCTCTTACATGCATTTAATAGCCACTCGCGTATGGCAATATTTCATTATGCTCTGACAGGCGACGCCCCAGACGCACGACGCGGCGCGAGGCTGCCGACGAGATGCCAGTCTCCGGCTTAGGGGGGAGGGGGGGAAGGCAGGGTTGAAGTGTCTGTCTGTTTTTTCTAGTAGTTGCGCTTCTACAGTAGGCAAGGTCTTGTCGCTACGCTTCTGCTTCCTTCGAACATGTAGCCTGGACGCCCCCCCCGACAGGCCCGGGCCACGATATCTGGTGGGAGCAGAGAGAGGGACAGGGAGAGGAGGAGGAGGAGGAGGAGGAGGAGGAGGAGGAGGAGGAGGAGGAGCAGGAGGAGGAGGAGGGGGAGGGGGAGGAGGAGGGGGAGGAGGATTGGATTGGACACTTCAAGCGGACAAGGCTGGAGCCTTCCAGCAAGGACGGTCGGAATGGAGCCGCCTGCACCGCTCGAGCGGCACAGGGGCCCCACGAGGAGGAGGAGGGCGAGGAGGAGGCGGCAGAGGACGAGGTGTTTTGGCCTGCGCTCTCATGTGTACTGCAGGCGCGAGGGTCAGGAACAATCCCAGCTTTGGCGAGGTATTGTCACATTCTTGGTGATCGGGCCCTCCACCCTGGACTGCGTTTTTTTCGGGGCATCCCCACGGGGCGGCCCTCGGCGAAGGGGTTCGTGCTCTTGACCTGCGCTCCTGTGGCCACGCCCCGACTGCCACCTCGGCGCCCTTCCGCGGCGCTCCTCCTCGGCCGTGGCCCGCCGACCGCCGAAAGCCCCTGAAGCCTCTCGCGAGGCGCCTCCGCAGCCGCACCTCGTCGCAGAGCCTGCGTTGGCGCACCCCGCCAGTGCGCGCCCTCCTGGGAGGAGCAGGAAGAGGAGGAGGAGGAGGAGGAGGAGGAGGAGGAGGAGGAGGAGGAGGAGGAAGAGGAGGAGGAGGAGGACGAGGAGGACGAGGAGGACGAGGAGGAGGAGGAGGACGAGGAGGAGGAGGAGGAGGAGGAGGAGGGGGAGGTGGACTGTAGGACTGTAGTGTATTGCTGATGCCCTTGAGGGTAGGCATAACCCTGTGAGGACGGATGGGGCTCTGGGGCTCACCCACCCTTGTTACCGTGCCCCCAGGTACAAGGACCGTGGTAGGCACACGGTATGAGAGGTAGCATACCTTTCATCGGCAACCTCCGTTGTGAAGACCGTGGCTCGTCCTTACTCGGCTTGTGCGCCAGAGCAATCGGAGCGTATCAGCACACGCTGGAGGTGAGTGTGAATGAGGGGTGATGGATTCCACACCTCCTGACTGCATGGACGATGCGGCGGAGCGAGGCCGCCAAGGTAATGAGGCTCAGAGTATACAGCGCTGAATGCCAGTGCGTGCGCGTGCGGCGGGATGCAACAAGGGAGTAGGTGGCTGATACAATAAGTGGACAACGTCAACCCACGCCACCATTGTGCTGCGTACCCCAACGGTTACACGACGCGACGCGACGGCAAGCTGAGAGGCAATGGTTACCTCACCTCCTGCCGGCATGGACGATGCGGCGGAGTGAAGACGCCAAGGTAATGAGACTCAGAGTAAACAGCGCTGTATGCCAGTGCGTGCGCGTGCGGCAGGGTGCAACAAGGGAGTAGGTGGCTGAGATAATATGTGGCCAACGTGTCCTCACGCCACCTCTGAGCTGCGTACCCCTACGGTTACACAACGCGACGCGACGGCAGGCAAGGGGATCGCGCGCCGAAGAATACGATTCGACCCGCGGCCGCATAACCATCTGAGAGGCGATGTTTTCCTCACCTCCTGCTGGCATGGACGATGCGGCGGAGTGAATGGCCCAGAACGCATCCCGGGACCATACCTGCTGAGGCCGGCGTGCCTCACGTAGGCCCTCTGCCCAAGACTGGGAGGATACGAACTTCGAGAGTTTCGTATCGGGTGCGACCCCCAGAAGGCATAAAACAAACAAATACTCACCAACCCACCTGTAACAAGGAATTTGTGGGCCTGTCGGCGGGCCCGTTTTGGGGCCAACGTGCACCGGAAAGGCGCTTCCGGAGCTCGCTGGGCAGACCCCGTGCGAACACTACTTGGTTAGGACCGCCCGCAGGGATTGCCCTTCTGCCCTCGTGGAGGGACAAACCTGGGCCCAAGGCGCTGTCACCAGGAGACAGTTTCGGCCCCTCCCTTCTCCTCCTTTCTTTTTCACTGTTACTCATTATGGGCGCGTGCGATGTCAGGCGCCAGCGCAGATGGTGCCAAGAAGTTCAGGACGGAGGAGCTTCCTGAGGACATCAAGAAGTATGCCGATGGCTCCCGTGACGACGGGGCCCTCGAGGGAATGCAAGCCGCTCTCGCCCACCTCGCCAAGAAGGCCAACGGGCCGTACGACACCTTGGCCAACCAATTGGAGCAACGATGCAGTACCATCGAGGCTTCCGTCGACGCCCACGCTGTCCGCATCAAGGCGCTCGGGTCGCAGGCCCACGAGCTCCGCGACATGATCGGTGCCGTGCGCAACGAGACCCCGCAAACACTTGTGTTTGACCCTACGTTTGATCGCGCTGTGGACATTACCGTCGTCATTACCAGGGCCAATTCATTGGTCGCCAAAGCCCCAATGGAAGGCGCCACGCGCGAGTGTTTCTCCAGAGTCAACTTGTCTGTTGAGGATTACTCTATCGAGGGTGACCCCGCATCCAAGCGCTACACCCACCGCATCAAGGGCTCCACCGCTTTCGCCACCTGCGAGGTCTCCCAGGCGCTCGGGGCGCTCAGGAGGGACGGCGCTCGTGGCAGAGTTCTCCGCCAAGGACATCACGAACCAGAACGTGGAGGTCTGCGTGTCGGGGGACGAGAATGCATGCCAGATCAAGCTTGAGCTGGCGCGCAAGCAGATCCGCCGCATCTTCGAGCAGAGCAAAGTTGACCTTAGCTTCTATACCGGCAAGCAGAAAGGGGGGATCAGTTGCCAGTGGAGAGCTCTCGTCAAAGTCACACCAGTCCACGGCGATGGTCAGCCTGTAGTGGAATTCTCGAGTGCGAACCTCCAGCACCTCGTCATCAGCAGAGCCGAGCTCGCCGCCGCCATCGAGCGGGAGTTTGCCACCACTGAGAACGTGGAGTGGAGCTCCTAGCCTGCGCGCCTCATGGAGTGACAGTCGCGGGAAGCGTATTCTTCGTTATCATTATATTATTGGGTCTGCTCTTGCTTTGCAGAAAGTTCATGGGTCAGTTCATCACCTGCAGGATTCTTGCCACTCTCATGCTTCTGGTTTCTCCTCTCACTCACCATTCCCCTTCTACGTCTGCATATATAGGAGCTGTGGTTACTATCTTCCGCAGTGTTGACCAGCTTGACAACCGGCCGAACAGTTCGAAACAAATGCTTGTCGAGGGCAGGTGCACGCACGCAAAAATCGGCTTCTCCTGGGACGTTTGGATATAGATTTTCAACCTACACAACTTGGGGCCTCTGGCGTTTCGAAACAGCGAGTGGCGGACAAGATCCGCGCATACATTGCAGCCGCCGCCAGCTCGCCCCTGACGACCCTTGTCGCCGTGCTGGGGGGCTTCAACTTCAGCGCAGAGCCGCCGGGGTTTCCGGATGAGGTTCCGACCCAAACTGTTCTTCGAGGCTTCCTGGAGTGGAGGCCGCAAGGTTCGGCAGCGTTATCTTCAGTGCTCCGCGAGATGGTGGGGGTCGATTTCCCCGAGCCCACGCATTTCTACACGCCAGGGAAAAGGCTCACGAACATCGACCGAGTGTTTGCATCCTGTCCAGGCTGGCTCCGCAATCAGGCGCGCCGCTGCGACCGGGCGCCCCGAAGTGATGGGCGCGAAGGGGCTGTCCGATCACTCGCTGATACTCTTCTCTCTAGCCACCGTCGATAAGGCCCCCCTGGCGAGCGGCCCATCCCGAAGGGGGTTTTTCAGAGCCGCCAGTTCAGGAGATTGCTGGAACTCGCCCTAGAGGCAGGCCCCATCGAGAACATGACCCAGCCGCTGGAGCTCGAGTACCAGTCCGAAAGCTCACGCGCGAAGCTGCCCGCGATGCCCGCGACCATGCCATCGCCAAGGCCCCTGGCCCCCCTCTGGCCCAGATCCCGGCTGTGAAGACGGTGGCGAGAGCGATCTGGAGGCAGGACATTCGACTTGCCGAGCGCGCGCGCGCTCCCCAACCGCTCGGTGCTCGATTTCTGGAGGTCGACGCGCTGGCACGTCGCGTTTCACTTCTCGAGCCCGACGAATTCCTGAGAGCCCCCAACGACGCGCGCACAGCGATAGCGAGCCGACGGCAGTCTGAGATCAATGGCAACATTGCCGCGGCCAACAGCGAGCGAGAGCCAAACAAAACCTGACGGAGACTCAAGGGAATTGTGAACAGGAGTAGGCTCCGGCCCCCTCTGGACCTCCGCCCGCGTCTGCAGGGACTTCGGCATGAACGCGGGGTCTGCCGAGATCCTGCTGCCGTCGTTGGGGGGCTTTCCGGGCGCGTGCGTGGGGGGGGGGGGGGGGGGGGGGGGGGGGGGGGGGCTGCCCGTGATATTGATCGCGACGCTGCTCGAAGTCCATTGGATATGTACCCCCCCCGGGGCCCACTGTCAGGACCTTCCACCTCCTGCGCTCCATGGGCTCGAGCGCTACCTAGCTAAACCATTCCATAGCGCGCCTGGGCTCGATGGGTTACCATGCGCGGCGCGGCAGAACCACCCCGGGTGAGTTCGGTCGCTGGACAGGCGCCCCTTGGTGGTTCCTTGAGGGTGAGTCCACGCTACCCCCATTCAGCTACGCGCGCGCCTTTGTGCCGAAGGGCGCAGAGGACGCGGTCTCGGTCGAAGTCCCCCGCGGCGCCTCGCAGGCGCGACCTCCCGGATTCAAGCAGGCCTCCAACGAGATTGCGACCGGCGTGGCCACCCGGCAGTTTTCGCGAGCTCTGTCACCCTTTATCCTTTCAAGCATCGCGGATGTGTCAGAGGTAAAAACTTCGGAGCAAACGTTCTGGAGCTTGACCTATATGCCACGACCTGCTCGATGGACGACGAGGCCCCGCGCGCTTCTATGCCTAGTTCCCTACGACCGCGGGCACGCGTTTCCTTCGATCTCGCAG